GAGCGTCGCCCCCAAAGTGACTCCCTAAGGTGCCTCACGCAGGCAAAGCCGGGGACACACCCTCTTCCAGGGAAGGCGCGTGTGTCACCAACAACGGGACAAGCGGGCGGCCCGAGTCCTGGTGCCAGGCTCCGGGAAGGGCACGCCTACCTGGCGTGGGGCCGAGCTCAGGGACAGCGAGGCAAACCCACGCTGCAGACGGCCCGGCCAGGTCAGCAAGGGCCAGAACCACCTTCCCACCTGCCTCGGTGGGGCTCAGGGCCCACATGGGGGACACTGTGGGGTTCCCACCAGACAGCCCTGGCAGCAGTGAGCCCACGTACAGATGGGGCCACCTGGGGGTGGGGAGAGAGACTGAGAAACAGACGGAGTCAGAGACAGAGAGACAGACATAAAGACAGAGAGAGAGACAGAGACAATGAGGCAGAGAGATGGAGAGAGAGACGGAGGGAGGGAAGGAGGAGGAACGCCCGTGGCGGGAGGGCCTGTGGGCATGCCCTCTCGAGTGGGTGTGTGACCGGCAGGTGGCGATGGGCGGTGTGCTGAGCACATTTCTAGGGGTCAGAGCCACACTCTGTTCACGGAACGCCCTGGTCACTCTGTGGCGCTCACGCTGCGGGAAGACCCGGCTCTGCAGCCCTGAGGACGGGCAGGGGGTCCCGAGACACAGGGTGGATCAGACAGGACCCTGGGAACAGGCAGGGGCGGGTTGTGGACTGTCCCCACGGGCAGCGTGGCAGAGCCATGTGGGCAAGATGCCGCTGTGGCCGGGCGTGGCGGGAGGGAGTCCTGGCTGGCGGTGTGCGCACCGGCATGCCTGCGTTCCCCTCACCCTCCACGCGACTCAGACCTGCGGGTCTCCCCTCCCACGACGGGCCTCGGCACGCGGAGGCTGCGGAGTCCCTGTGGGCCCCTGGTGGAGGTGGGGTCAGCTGACCCTACAGGCCAGGCCTGTCACTCATGGGGGCCCACAGCCGTGGCTGGCAGGTCAGCGGTCTCAGGCCCCTCCCCGATGGATCTGCGGCTGTGCTGACCCTGGCGTCGGCTGGCTCAAGGACACAGTCTGGGCACAGGCCCCAGGTGCAGGAGAAAAACAAACACGGACCACACATGTGTTTGAGCAGGAGCAACCCATACAGAACTAGGAAACGGACTTACAAAAGAACCAGGCGGCCGGGCGCAGTGGCTCACGCCTGCAGGCCCAGCACCCTGGGAGGCTGAGACAGGAGGTTTGCTAAGTCCAGGAGTTCGAGACCAGCCTGGGCAACAGAGTGAGGCCCTGTCTCAAAAAAACCCCAAAAAAACACCAAAAGCAGCATGAATTTGCTCGGTGTCACTGAGCAGCACACTTAAAAAGGGTCAGTTTTATGTTACATATATTTTACCACAATAAAAATATACTTTACTGGCCAGGCATGGTGGCTCGCGCCTGTAATCCTAGCACTCTGGAAGGCTGAGGCAGGAGGATCGTTTGAGCTCAGGAGTTCGAGACCAGCCTGAGCAAGAGTGAGACTGTTTGTCTACTAAAAATAGAAAGAAATTAATTGGCCAACTAAAAATATATAGAAAAAATTAGCCAGGCACAGTGGCGCATACCTGTAGTCCCAGCTACTTGGGAGGCTGAGGCAGGAGGATCGCTTGAGCCCAGGAGTTTGAGGTTGCTGTGAGCTAGGCTGACGCCATGGCACTCACTCTAGCCTGGGCAACAGAGTGAGACTCTGTCTCAAAAAAACACACCAAAAAACCACTTTACTTTTAAAAAACTGCCAATGACCTCAAAGAAATCAAAGTACCCCAGACTACAACCCTGCACCTAGGCTCAGGAGGGACAGCCTGAACCCACCAAGGGCTCAAGGCTGGACTTGTGGGGGGACATTCTTCAATGTCTCCCCTACCCCAGAAGGTCCTTGCTCCAGACAGAAGACCTAGAAAGGCGCTGGTGTCCCCCAGACTCTGAGGAACCCACAGACGCACGAACGCTCTCCAATGTGCCGGTCCCTCCGGGTGAGTCTGACACTCGTGGCCAGCCACGGTCACATCACCTATGTCTCCTCCTTCCTGTCTCCAGGGATCTTAGGGAAACTGGGCTCCAGGCGGTCACATGCCACTCGGTCCTCAACGTGGACGTCAGGGCATGCGGTGCTGTGGTCTGAGCGTGTCCCCGAAGTTCACTCGCTGGAAGCTTCGTGCCCAAGGCGGCAGTGCGCGGAGGTGAGAGGTCGGGAGGGCTCCGCCCCGTGAGTGGTCGACGCTGGCATCTGGGAGTGGGCTTGTTGTTTCGGGATGGAGGCTGAGTTCACCTCCATTTGATGAACCTCTGAGAAAGAACAAATGCCTCAGGCGTCAGCCAGTGTCACCGCAGCCCTGGAGGCAGGGCGGGACGTCTCTGACAATTGGAACCGAGGGACCCAGAAACCCCCGTAGGCCCCAAAACTCACACAAGTTCATCTGAAATGGCTTCCGGGTGGCAGTGCCCCGAAGACAGAAACATGGCGGAAACACAAACCCTTTCAGGATGCCGACCGGGCCCAGGGGCCACTGGGACGCCACGGCCATGTGGAGAGGCCTGATCTTGTAGACGCTGAAACGGGAAACAGGTCCCTACACAGACTGAACACGCGGTTGTACAGGGAACGCAGTCGGACCTGGGCTTATGTTCAGTTCTGCACAAGCTGTGGGGGCCTGGACTTCGCTGGGGAAACGCCAGAGGACACCCCGGCACCGGGAGGCCCCGGAGGGAGGAGGGCCTGCAGGCGTGGGAAGGAGGGTGAGCACAGTGGTGAGAGAAGTCCCTCGCCCTAGTTGTCGTCTTTCCATGGAGGTGGATGATTTTTTCGCAGAGCTCAGGAGGGTGAGTGTGGGGAGGATCCTAATGCTTGGAGGATTCCTTGCTGTGGGATCTGGGGTCCGAAGGTGATTATCTTTGAGATGACAGATGAGAAAACTAAACCAGCATGTGCAACACTCGCCACTGCTGTGGTCTGTCTTTGCCCCGAATTCACGTGTTGAAACCTGACCCCCGGAGGCCGTGTGAGGCTGGGCCCTTGGGCTGGACTGGCGCCCTTCCAGGACCGGCGGAGGCAGCTGGCGAGGACAAGGACGAGGACGGATGGCACCAGCTGGCACTGCGGCTGTCACTGGACATCAGTCTACTGGGGCCTTGATTTTGGACCTCTCGGCCTCCAGAACTGTGAGCAATAAATCACTGTTTATCATAACGTAAACTACCCAGTTGACTCAATCCACGTTTTTAGAATTAAATTGTCAGTATTAGTCGTAACAATGAGAACATCAACAAGTAAGATTTTCAGACTAACTGCAGGGTTTTGCTTCACGCGGCCCCAGGCTCAAAACTAGCCTGGGTTAAATACAACTCACACGGCAGTCAACGTGTTAAACAGAACACAGGACTGAAGCATTTCGGGGCCACCTCCTGATTTGGAGGACGGCCGCCCCACTCGGCGCCTGTGCGGGGAGGGCGTGCAGACCTCGTCGGGAGGTTGCAGCTGCTGATCCGGCAGCAGAGGAGTCTCAGGAGACGGAGCAGGGCTGCGGGGAGCAGGGCTGCGGGGAGCAGGGCTGCGGGGAGCACGGGACATACCGCCATACCGCCCACGGCCGCTCCTCTGGAAAAGCTGCAAGTCAAACACCCGCCGGCCATGGACAACCGAGCCTGCCGGCCGTGTCTCCAGCCCTGCCCGGCCGCACCCGGCACGGCACCCGGCACAGCCACTTGGACAGCTGCGTCCAAGGGTCTCCGGCTTAGCACAAAACAAGAATGCAAATGCCCGCTGATGGTTTGTAACAACAATTGCAAGTTAAAATAGGATATTTTGGATTTATCAGATCAAATCAGTATATCGTTAAAATGACTCTCTCCTATTCCTTTTGATTTCTTCAATGAAATCAAAGGCTGCTGGAAAGTTCTGTGTGATGCGGGCTCCCAGCCCAAGTCTCAGGCTGCGCTGGGTCTCCTCTGGGCCCACTCCCTCCCCTCACCGGTCTGCGCCACCCCACAGAATAAGGGGGACGGTTTGGAAACACTAAGCTGGTCACACCGTCCCTGGTTAAAGCCAGTGGAATGAACCCCCAAGCACCCTGCCGAGTGCGGAGGAGCGCCAGGCCTGTCTGCGAGGGACAGAGGCCCACACGGGTGCAAGGCTCAACGCTCAACACAGCTTTAAACACCTGACAGCCACAGGCGGCTACACAAAGTGGGGCTGTACAGAATTCTACAGAACAAAAAATATCTGGATACTGTCAAAAGGCTGCATTAAGGCCACGTGTGGCCTTAAGGCCGCAGGTCCCCACCCCTGTACATCCTAACCCCGCCGTGGCCTTATCTGAAGGCAGGCTCTGCGGGAGGTCGGCGAGGCTGAGCGTGCTCGCAGGCTGAGGCCCTGGTCTGACGGGGCTGTGGCCCTGCGAGGAGAGGAGACCGCTCGCTCCGCACGGCGAGAAGACACAGCTCTGTGGCCACGAGGGCCCTCCCAGAACCCGCCGCCCACGCAGCCTGGCCGCAGTCGGACCCCAGCCCCTGCAGCTAGGGGGCCAGAGCTTGTTCGAGCCGACACCGAACTGACCCACAGTCCCCGACGCGCTATGTGTGGATTTGGCGACGCCGTGGGAGTCAAAGCCACGCGGGTTCAGCAGGAGCCGCACGCTGAGCCCCACGCGGCCTGTTTCCCACCGTGGGTACAGCAGTCAGTGAACCGCCCAGGATGCTCAGGACCTCACTTAAGACAGGCTTGTGCCGGATGACTCTGCCCAGCTGCAGCCGACGCCGTGTTCTGAGCGTGCTTGAGTCTGGCACGGCTGCACCTCGCAGGAGGTCGGGGACAAATGCGTTTTCTACCCACGGCGTTTTCAACTTGCAGCGGTTTACTGGGTGTGACCCCAGCGTGAATCAAGGAGCACCTATAGAGGCAAGCTACAAAATCTGGAACATTTAACTCAAATTAAATCCTGCCTTTAAAAAAAAGCTTTAGGTTAACCAAGCATTTTGATAACATAAAATATTCACATTTAATCTATAAAAATAGATGTACCCTGGAAGGTATAATGAAGAATATGCCTTTTTTACAGAAGGAGCTGCAAAGAGCTGCCAGGCAGCCTTGGGAACGACACTCAGGAACAGCGAACTGGAGCTGCCTTCACACAGAGCCGCCTTCTCCAGACGGCAGAGGTGCCTTCGTTTTCCAAAGAAAGAGTTCCCGGCCTCCGTGAGGCTGGCGCCCTCACAAAGGACCAAGGAGGCCGGGATGCACGGGTGTCCGGCACGCCCAGGCCTGGTCCCAGGAGTGCGCGGCGAGGTCTCCCCGCGTCCAGACACCTCGGCGGGCAGGGCTGGGTGTGTCGGCACCGGCAGGACCACGAGGACCGCGGCCCGCGCTCAGCACACCGTGGACAGCGGCGGAAAGGGGTTCTGCTTGCTGACCACCAGCTTCTGGTGCTGGTGCGAAATGTAGCCTTTGATGTGGCCCTGAGGAGAGAGAGACAGGGATGAGTCCCTGATCCGAGCCAGGGCGAGGCCCAGGGTGATCCGAGCGCTCCGTTCCCCGGCAGAGCCTTCCTCCCCAGCAACAGTGGGGTTCAGCTCGCTGGGAAGACGAGAACAAAACTGAACACAGCTGGCCCCGCATTTGTGGGTCCCCTTCTGTGGATTCAACAAACCATTTATTTTTTTATTTATTTATTGAGACAGAGTCTCACTTTGTTGCCCAGGCTAGAGTGAGTGCCGTGGCGTCAGCCTAGCTCACAGCAACCTCAAACTCCTGGGCTCAAGCAATCCTCCTGCCTCAGCCTCCCGAGTAGCTGGGACTACAGGCATGCGCCACCATGCCCGGCCAATTTTTTCTATATATATTAGTTAGCCAATTAATTTCTTTCTATTTATAGTAGAAACGGGGTCTCCCTCTTGCTCAGGCTGGTTTTGAACTCCTGACCTTGAGCAATCCGCCCGCCTCGGCCTCCCAGAGTGCTAGGATTACAGGCGTGAGCCACCGCGCCCAGCCACAACAAACCATTTATAAAAAATACTCAGGCTCTGGGAGGCCGAGGCGGGCGGATTGCTCAAGGTCAGGAGTTCAAAACCAGCCTGAGCAAGAGCGAGACCCCGTCTCTACTATAAATAGAAAGAAATTAATTGGCCAACTAATATATACAAAAAATTAGCCAGGCATGGTGGCACATGCCTGTAGTCCCAGCTACTTGGGAGGCTGAGGCAGGAGGATCCCTCGAGCCCAGGAGTTTGAGGTTGCTGTGAGCTAGGCTGACGCCACGGCACTCACTCTAGCCTGGGCAACAAAGCGAGACTCTGTCTCAAAAAAAAAAAAAAAATACTCAGGGAAAAAAGCATCTGCTCTGAGCATGCCCTGTGTTGGTTGTTATTCCCTAAACAACACAGTGTAACAAGTATTTATACAGTGGCACTCACGCCTATTCGGTGTCCTAGGTAAGCTAGAGATGACTGAGAGTACCCGGGGGTGTGCAGAGGACACAAGCAAACACCGCCCCGTCTGATAGCAGGGACTGGGGCATCCGAGGACTCTGGTGTCCAGGGGGGTCCTGGAACCAGTCCCCACGGACACCGAGTTCCACACCCAGGGCTGACTGCACGCGTGGAGGAAAACACGGAAGCAGGAGGGCTCGCGCACCATGTATATGAGGTTGGCCAGGATGCACTGCACCTCGTCGATGTCCACGTCCTCCACCTGCATCAGCCGCAGGGCGACCAGGAAGGCGTCCAGAGACAGCTGGTGTGTCCTGAGCAGCAGGTACCTGCGGGGGAAGGCGTCGCCGCGGTCACTAACAGGAGCACCTCAGAGGCCAACAAGGGTACCATAGTCCATTATCAAACATTTTAATGAACCAGTGTTAAAAAGCTCGAAAATAATTTTTCCACCTATTAGATACACTCTAAATACTCTCTAAAAATAAGGGCTATTAAATATAATTTGACTTTTTAATTAAAAAAACCCACTAGGTTACTAGTACAAATACTTTTTTTTTACATTTACTGAGTAAGTATTTCATTAAATTTAAGATGCGTATTTTTTCCACATTTGACTATCTCTGAAACCAGGACGCACCTGACAATGGATTCAATGCAGCACGGGCCTTCCTATTTTTGACAGACGGCCCACAGCTGTATAAAAAGCCCGCCTTTCTTTGAAGCGTAATTAACTGAGGTCCTGGTGGGACCCGGCCTCAGAGGAGAGTCAACTTCCAGGGTTAGGTGTGAGAAAAGGAACGAGTGCGTAAACGTTCAACCTCCTGAGACAGGAGTGGGCTGGGCTGTTCTGACAAAGGGGGCGAGGGCTGGTCCCCGGCTCCCACAGCCCGGGACGGACGAGGCCGCCGTCCCACGGTCCCCACTGCTGTTTCCTCGCCACACACCACCTGGGCTCTTTCCCCAGAAGCGACGCAAAGCCTCCGTGGCTCACCTGCCTCCGCGCCCCAGCCGTTTCATTCTATGCCACACAATTAAAGGAAAACGGGGGTCCCTGCCCACCAGGCGCCCCCTCCCAGCCCGCAGCTCCGTTTCGCCGGCCGACAGCCTTGCTGGGGGTTTCCACGTGCTGGGTAAATGCTTACACTTTCTTGAAGAGATTCCTGTAGGTGATGATTTTCAGCTTTTCCAGGATCAGGAAGATGCCGCAGCGGATGAAGAAGGTCTCGTGCTTGGCTAGCGCCTCGGTCAGCAGGAGCAGGTTGCCTTCGCTGGCGAGCGAGGGAGACGCCACGGCCACAAAACAAGACCCCAGAAAGAGTGCGTCAAAGCCCGGTGGCGCCTCACACAGCGTTCGCGTAGTTTCTATTAGCTTTATATTTTTAACAATCTCAAGTGGAAAAGGATAAGATACTCTACCTTACGGCTTTGGTCACCTCAGCAAACTGCATGAGATGGTACTTTTTCAAGAGCTCGATTGTCGGCATGTGACCCTGAAACAGGTTTCCAGAATAAAATGCTTTCATCTTTCACAGAATTGTCTTGGATAAAATTCTTTTCAAGGAATTACGTTTCTAAAAAACTGCAACCTGAATTTCTTAGAATCTCTACGTCGGTAGCTGGACAAGGACTAACAACACACTAGTACCCTGGGAAAACAACGCTGGTCTGGAAACACAGGCACCTGGCACGGCAGCTTGTCACTCAATGACACGTGACCTTGACCTGGGCCTGCTCCCGGCTCTTACCGTTTGTGTAACAGGAGGGGAGTGAGAACTGAAGAAACAGCAGCATCATTGTAAGATTTAAGAATACGGAAATATCTTCAAGAAGAATGGGCTAAAAAATGTAAAACCAGTTGTCTTGTAGGTAGCATTAGGTACATCGCTGCTTTCTCAAACCATAAACCATTCTGAACCACGTAAGTTTTAACTGTGTGTGCTGCTTTATTTTTTAAATTTTTTAAATGGGAGAAAAGAAAGCTCTGTCACTTTAAGGATATGTTAGTCCATGAACTTACCAGCTGTTTGACATTTCTTTACAAGTACCAGAAACAAATTTGATGGACTAAATAAAATACCTGCAGACAGGCTGGAATGACATTTTCTCCCCACTGCTGTTAATTTGGGTTTTTAGGGAGAAATATAATAATATGCACTTGTTTTATTTGTCATATGTTAAACTTTTGAGTTAGATACTTTTAAGAGAAATAACACTGACAAAGCTTTTCTAGAAGGGTCTGGAAGTGCCAGCCACAGAAAGCCCTGTGGCTCGGGCCAATCACATGCTATCCCTGCTCTGTCTCAGGGCAGGCAAGCCCCTGTGCAGACGTGACCGGCCACACACCGCAGTTCTTAAAAAGCCTATGAACTTCGTTAAAGCAAAGCACCAGGATCTACGAAAACTGAGTATCACTCACCAAGAGCATCTTGACTGGCAGCAAGTATATCAGAATCATCCTTTTGTTCTTCTGGCTCAGGCGGTGGCAGTGCTCGAAGGCGAAGGACAGGTACTCCTCGGCTGCAAAGACAGCAGGGACCGAGTGCTGGGCCCGCAGCACTCAGCCGGCGGCCTCCCTCAGAGCCCCAATCGCTGCGTTCCCTTCCTGCCCGGCTCTGCCGTCTGAGCCTTACATGTTTCGGTCCTCCTTTTGTTATCTCAAAAAATACTACCCAGCTTCATTTCTGTGATCAGTGGTTTTTCTTAGGTAAAACCCATAGCTCCAAATTTAACAAGAACTGCATGGGAAGTTCTACTAACAGAGGGAAAACTGAAGAAATTAACTTCCCTTGAGAGTCTGACTTGCCCTGAGGCCTTCTGACAAGCCACTGTGCTCAGCATTGACAAGTTTTCAGGCTGGGCTCGGTGGCTCATGTAATGGCTAGGTGTAATCCTAGCACTCTGAGAAGCGAGGTGGAGGATTGCTCAAGGTCAGGAGTTCGAGACCAGCCTGAGCAAGAGTGAGACCCTGTATCTACTAAAAATAGAAAGAAATTAGCTGTACAACTCAAAATATATATATAAAAATTAGCCGGGCATGGTGGCACATGCCTGTAGTCCCAGCTACTCGGGAGGCTGAGGCAGAAGGATCACTGGAGCCCAGGAGTTTGAGGTTGCTGTGAGCTAGGCTGACGCCACGGCACTCACTCTAGCCTGGACAACAAAGCGAGACTCTGTCTCAAAAAAAAAAAATAAAAAAAAAAAAAAAAAAAAAAAAAAAAAGTTTTTAACCTGCTCAGATGATACCCACATTCACAGAAAACATAAAAACATATTTCAAAATGCACCTCCACCATTCATTTTAATCATGCATAATTAAACAGAATAAAAATGACTTAGAGAAGTACCACCCTCCAGCTTAGCATATAATTCAGTGATCACACTTGAAATGAACGTAAACTTTAAAAAATTATTGAAGTAACTTGTAATATTCATGTTGTGTCCTGACAGCAATACTAAGAGGGGATTCCATTTCATATACAACAGACTTGAATCTAACAGATTTCAAAATACAAAAATGATTCCACCTGTCGAGACAAATCCCACTGGCCACACAGCACAGACCTGCCGAGTCTAAGGTGCTCACCAGCCACCCCGAGAGCAAGGTCGAGTGCGACTGCGCTCTCGTCAAGGCTTGGAAGGTAAAGGTGAGAGAACGGCAGGGAATCCTGGACAATGGTCCTGCCTCCGACGCTGAGTCTGGTTCAAGAATTAGGAAAGTGGGGGCAGGCGCAGTGGCTCACGCCTATAACCCCAGCACTCTGGGAGGCTGCAGTGGGAGGATTGCTTCAGCCCAGCAGTTTAAGACCAGCTCGGGCAACACGGCGAGACTCTATCTTTACAAAAACTAAATAAAAAGAAATAGGAAGGTGAGATGTTCCCTCAGACAGAGGCACTCTGTTTATGCTTCCTGAACAGTGACATTAAGCCCCAAACATAAGAGACCCGAGATGCGCAGAATTGCAGAGGCCGTCTCTTGTGCAGGCCATGTCACCAGCAGCAGCAGGCCCTGGGGTCTGAGGGAACCGACACTGAGAGCCACTGCCTCTGCTCCCAACTGGCACGGCCACGTTGCAAAGATAAAGGTCTCATCTTGCAGCAAGTGCGACTGCCGCGGCATCTTCCAGCGGCTGAGCTGTGCCCGCCAGCACACCGATCCCCGCAGGGCCGAGATCAAGGCACAAGGATTCAGCCAGAGTCCCCAACATCCCAGCTGCCGGAGTTTAACTTCCGCAGCCCAGACCCTGAGACGTGCACCTTCACCACTGCTCAGGCAGCTGGGCCCGAATCCCCACGGAGGTACAAAAACCGCATTTTCCAATAGATAGCGCATACTGAGAATTTCTGCTGTCTTTGGGGGGCCTTCACATATTTTGCATCAAACAATATATTTTGGTTGAAGTAAAAAATATCTAGAAGGGTATGAATCTCTGAAATTAACATACTGTTGAAAGTGTATAACAAGTAACTGAGACTCTCCAAATATTCTTTCTTATATAACATAAAATCACATAAAAGAATTAAAGTCAACACAATCTCTGCAGACATTTTATCCACTTCAGACAGTCAGGGGCTCCAGGAATTCCTAGCAGTGAAGTGGAAATCGGAGTCGCCGAGATCGAGTGCCAGTACTGGCTTTTTAGGCATATAAAAAAATTCCTAGGCCGGGCGCTGTGGCTCACGCCTGTAATCCTAGCTCTTGGGAGGCCGAGGCGGGCGGATTGCTCAAGGTCAGGAGTTCAAAACCAGCCTGAGCAAGAGCGAGACCCCGTCTCTACTATAAATAGAAAGAAATTAATTGGCCAACTGATATATATATATAAAAATTAGCCGGGCATGGTGGCGCATGCCTGTAGTCCCAGCTACTCGGGAGGCTGAGGCAGGAGGATCGCTTGAGCCCAGGAGTTTGAGGTTGGTGTGAGCTAGGCTGACGCCACGGCACTCACTCTAGCCTGGACAACAAAGTGAGACTCTGTCTCAAAAAAAAAAAATTCCTGATTAGCTTAGTAATCTCAGAAAATCACAATCTCTATGATTTTCAGTTTCTTATACAGTAAAATATAGTGTTAGATGATATAGTTGCTGAAGAAACTTTTTAGCTCTAAAGGTTTTAGAAACTATGAATACGTAGTATCAATATTAATAAATCACTTCTGGCTGTGTTAGGCATTCAAACATACTCAATGAATCTTCAGAGGAAAAACTTATGAATGCCTTAATAGAACTCAGTAGAATATAATTTAAAAGTTTCTACCCTTGTGCTTTATATTTTAAGAAAAAAAAAAAAATAGATGGGAGAATTAAGCAAGAAAAGCCCTTCTTTAAAAGCCCTGGACCTACTAAAACTTTTGTGAAAGAAAATGAAAAGCTGGTCTGTGGCCGATACAAGAAAACACCAGAGCAGTTACTATCCTCGAGCCGGCGCTGGGTCCCAGGCACCCGGGCTGCCTCAGCCCAGGGCGGGAGGCCTTTCCCAGGCTCGTGCTGCTCTGTGGAGCTGGGCTGTGTGCGCAGCAAAGAGCTGCAGAAGTGAGCTTGGAAGTCTGGTTTGAGTGCAGTAGCAGAGCTCACAGAGAACCTCCTCGTGCCCGCTTATCAGGAAGCATAAAAGGGAAAACAGACTGGCTTGGTGTTCTTGAGCGAGTCAGAGACCTAAGCTGACATGTTAGCGTGATTTCACAACGCTCAGCACTGAGCAAGGACGTGTGCTGAAAACCACAACCGTGAAATGCGACACCCGGGCCAGCGCACACCTCCACTGCTTGCCGAGTCATCCCCACGCGGGATTTTAGGCAGAAAGTCAGCAGCTGAGCTCAGCGTTGTCCTCGTCTCCGTTTCCCCTGTCCCCACGACCAGCGCAGCGACAGGGCCACGGGGCTGGGGAACAGGCAGCTCAACAACGCAGCAGGGCGTCCGCGGGACTGAGACTGGCCTGTGTGCCAGGACCACCCGGGCAGAGCAGGAGCCTTCAAGTATGACTTGCCCTTATTCGACCATCGTGAGTGTCACATGCATGCACATAACTTGGACTTTGTTACACACGCATTCCACCTTAACGATAAAATACAGCAACTGTGTTCTCCGGAACCGTAACACGCAAGCTGATCAGAAGACAACGCTTATTTAAAACTCTGGAGAAGAGATGAACGCACCTTGCTTAAAGTCGCTGTCGAACATGGCCTTGCGCCCCACGTAGTACTTGTACGTCACTCTCTGCGCGGTGCTGTAGTCGTCCTTCAGATTCGAGCTGTCGATTGCTCTGATCAGTGGTTTACACAAGTGGAGTTTGTTGATCTAAAATGGATAGCAATCCACGTAAAAACAACAAAAACGGGTGGTAGAACAAACATAGACTTCTACTTCACTAAGCATATGTCTTCTCAAAATGGGAATCACAAAATCTGTTGTATCAAAATTATTTATCTCACAATAAAAACTACAACAAGCAGCTGCCAGCACAGAGGAGCTCCCCAGGACAGCGCTGAGGAGCCCTCCCCGGGGCAGCTGGGCCTCCGCCCACACCTGGCTTCCCAGTTAGCGGAGGACACAGGATCCAGAGCAAAACTACACACACCGGAGGCCCAGTTCCACCCCGGGCAAGGTGCTTAGTTAGCACACAGGTGCCTCAGTTTCCCCCGGAGCAGTCTTGTGTTTGGTTTTTTTGTTTTTTTATAGAAACCCTATTCTCTGGGCTAGAGTGCAGTGGCATCATTGTAGCTCACAGCAACTTCACACTCCTGGGCTCAAGAGATCCTCCTGCCTCAGCCTCCCGAGTAGCTGGGACTATAAGAGTGTGCCACCATGCCCAGCTAATTTTTTAAATTTTTTGTAGAGACTGGGTCTCACTGTGTTGCTCGGGCTGGTCTAGAACTCCTTGTCTCAAGCAATCCTCCCACCTCGGCCTTCCAAAATGTTGGGCTTACAGGTGTCGGCCACCGCACCCAACAGAGTTTTAAATAAGATATTTGTAAAAGCATTTTTGAATAATGCCTTGCCCTTAGTAGGCACTCATCAAATGTCAGCTAGTAGGATTATAAATATGGTTATGATCACTTCCCAAGCAATGCCAGAAAGGCTAGCTAATAATTAACAGAAATAATATGGTATGTGGAAAGACAGCGAGAAAGAAAACTTATAAAGACATAAAGTATTCGAATGAAAGCATACCTTGAAGTAAATTTTAAATAACTGATTCACCAGGAACAGCATTCCCCACTTCTTAGAGTCCTCTATACCAGCACGGCTATGGGAAAATAATTTTTTTAAGTTACATACAAAATAAAAATCTTATTTATCAATTACAAAATAAAATGCTAAACAGATTAATATCCTGAGATAAAACCTCACAGCTCAAGTCATATTCATCAAATAAAACAACTTTTTATAAGATGTTTTATTTAATAGATAAACTTAGGGAAAAATTAAAAGAGCAAAGCAGGAAAATCCCAATTAAATATCTCGGTAACACTGCCCTCCGCTGCAGTGGCTAGAAACTGCCCCGTCTGCAGCAACATTATGTAAAAGCTAGCTGTTATAAAGCCTTTTTGAAAAACGGAAGAATGTTTTCTTTTCTCATTACAACCAAATGGACAAGCAAAATGCACAAGGGTGAGTCTCGAGAGGAAGACGCAGGAAGTACCCACGGTAGGAGTCCGTTTATGTGAGGTTGTCGAACAGGCAAAACTAACCCGCAGTGGAAAAACAGCGGCAAGGGACTGCCTGAGAAGGGGGCAGAGGGAACTTGCTGCGGTGATGATGATGTCCCTTTTCTCAACAGGTGTCTTGGGTATGCAGGTGTGCGCACTTGTCAAAACTCAGCAAAGACACAGTTAAGATTTGCATACGGTGAACTGCCCTATCTGATAAGGGTCTAGTATTGTGAATATATAAAGAGCTGTTACAACTCACTGTATATGTAGTTCACTGTATGTAATATTTCACCTCCAAAGACAAAAGAGAAAAGGGAAGTATTTAGGGGAAAGCGTGCCAATGTTTGCGACTGACTATGAAATACAGTCGTGTGGCCCGTGAGGACATTTCGGCCAACGATGCACTGCACATCCAGCGTGGTCCCGCAGATCACCGTGCTGTGTGTCTAGGCGTGTGCAGACACACAGAGCCCAGCGTGTGGGAGGCCGCACCAACAAGGTTTGTGTGGTGCGCTGCATGGTGCACGCACAGCCACAAAATCACCGCGACGACACGTTTCTCAGAACACATCCCCAGCAGCTGATGCATGACTGTGTATTGTTAAAAAAAAAAGAAATAAAAGAGAAACTGAGATAAACTGACAGATGGACATAGGGAAAGACACAAGGACAGATGTAACAGAGCAAGGGTATCACACTATCAGTAGAAGGAGTGGTGAACTGTAGGCATTTACCATAAGATTCTTTCAACTTTCCTGAAAGTTTAAAGCTTTTCATGATAAAACACTGGAATGAATTCGGTCGAGTCGGCTGTGTATTTTCACTCTGCAAACGACTCTCCCACGGAAGAGCCTGCGGCTCTCGCTGACGAGCCAGAGAGAGCCCACTGGCAGGCGGCCAGAGACACTAAATCCAGGGACGTGAAGTCAAGGCACAGAAACGTGCCCAGCACCGAACACAAGCAGGCTGTTCCCAAGCCAGGGAAAACAAAGTTGCTCAAGACCAAAGTATGCCCACAGAGAAACACTTAATGTAATATAAAAACACAATTTAGTTTTAAAATTGCAAAGCCTGTTTTATAACGCCTACTTCACTGCCATAACTGGCCCTTTTCCCTGGCTTTTATCACTACCTAGTCGTATGAACTTGAACAGAACTTTCTCTCTCTAGGTTTCGTTTTCCTCATCTGAAAATGGAGACATAAGAATACTGCTATGCCTACTTGAAAGGGTTATGGCAAGAAAAACCTACAACACAACACGGTAAGTGCATAGACAAGTACTTTGTAACTCATACAAACGCTTCATTTATGGTAACATCCTTGCCCGCCTGACACCAGGAACGATCACCTCTTCTGGACACGTGTGGCAAAAGCAAACCCCAAGAGGACAGATTTGTCACTCGGGGTTTGCTTCTGTCCTCTGGGCACCCACCGGGGAGTGGAACTGCTGGGTCACGTGGGGATCCCATGTTTAACTTTCTGGGAACCGCCAGGCCCTTCTGCAAAGCAGCTGCCCCGGCTCACACTCCCGCCTGTGCCCGTCTTTGACCAGAGCCACCCTGGCGGGCGTGCAGTGGCAGTGACTGCGTGTGCCCCGCCGCCGGCAGTCAGTGACGGCGAGCACCTTCTCATGCGTCCACTGTGTGGGTGTCGCCTCTGGAAGAGCTTTCAAGCCCTTTGCCATTGTTAGGTGGGATCATTGGTCTTGTCATTATTGAGTGGTAACAGTTCTTTATATATTCTGAATACTAGACCCTTATCAGATATATTACTTGCGATTTTCCCCCCCATTCTGTGGTTGTTTTTCACTTTTTTGACGGTGGCTCTGAAGCACAAAAGCCTTTAATTTTGATGACGTCCACCTATCCACTTTCCTTCTGTTGCTTGCGCTTTTGGTCTTGTCTCTGAGAAACCACTCGCTGACCGAAGGCCAGGAAGGTCACTGCCGTGCAGAAACACGCAATCGAACACAATCTCTAGGTTCGACGTCGACATTCAACTATTCCCAGCCTTAAGGAGCACCTGCTGTGTCCCTGCAGTGCAGGGCGCAGGTGGCGAGCGTGGCCCGGCCCGCGTGCTCTCCCTCCACAGCCACCGCACACCGGCCACCCCAACCGCCAGCTCCACGTGGCGGGGAACAGGCAGCGCCACTGCCCGTGTTCAGGAAAGGAGACCCGCCCGGCCGCAAGGCCCACGGGAGGGAGGCCTCGGAGGAGGCTGGAATCTCTAAAACGGGTGGCGACGGGGGGAGAGGAGTGGAGGGGCGTTCCGGGCAAAGGCACCAGCGTCCGCCAAGAGCCTCGTGGGGAAGCGTGCCGGTGCGTCGGGGAGCCGTCTAACGCCTGAGCGTCGGGGAGCCGTGTAACACCCAGCGCCGCGCCCTACTCACGTGTCGCTGGCGCAGACGCGGAAACAGCTCATCAGCAGCTCGGCCGCCTTCTCCAGCATGTCCCCAACTTTGCTTTTCCCTTTCTTTACCAACTGCTGATCTGCCTAAGAGAATATAAAACATTTATTTTTTTAAAGCAAACACTGGCACAATAAGAGCCAAAGTCCCAAAAGGTTCTAGAGAAATTCCAGCACGTACTACAGTATTTTTTTTAAATCGGGAGATGTATACATGGTCCCAATCCTTCTGCAAATCAAATCTGCTTTCAGTTAGTCCGAGCCAATCCGTCAGCACGGCGAAGCCCCGTGCACACAGCTCTGCGCCCGCGAGAGGCCTCCCCTGCCGCGGCCCCGAGCTTCCCGTCCAGGAATGGGCAGTCAGAACCCCAGAAACAGACACGCCTCCCGGTCAAGCCACCGCTGGGCCTGAGTCTTCCCTCGTCCGTAGGCTGGTGGAGCAGCCTCCATTTTCTCCCACTGTTCTCGGGGCCTCCACAGCCCTGCAGGCGAGCTGGCGTCGAGACTGCTGTCCTGACGACACTAGGCCACCGCTCGTCCTCTTGACACACTGACGTTCCCACGGGTGGCTCCTCCCTCCACGGGCGCCAGACTGGACTCGGGTCACCGCATCCTCAACACCGTGCACTTGCGCTTTGTCAGCCAAAGAACCAATAAAACTAGTTTCTCTTTAATACGGCCCTTGAGGAAGCAGTAGATACTAATTTTATTCGGTCCTGGTCCCTGAGCGCACGCGTGCTTGTGCACACGGTACTTCTGCCGCGCCCTGGCGTGTGGCAATTGACCACGGAAGACTCTGGGCAGCTGCCGGTGCCGCCGGCCGGACTGGCTGCTTCTCCTGGAGCCTCTGACAGCACGGACGTCCAGGTGTGGGGGCTGGCAGCACGGACGTCCAGGTGTGGGGGCTGGCAGCCCAGGTGCTCCAAAGGGAATGACACGGACCGTCACTTCCAGGCAAACGACTCACAGTACTTGTCGCCAGTGACATTTGCACTTTCAAGAAAAATAGGCAGCAGCTCCCTGTTCCTCCAAGACTTTTCTGAGAAAGTCGCTGGAGATGCTGACAAACGTAGGGTGTTTGTTTTTGGATTAAAATAACAAAGTTGTGTCAGCGTTTGGAACTGACGCATAACTCAGCGAGCTGAGATTTTCCGAGTGACCTCCAGTCTGAAGGCTGTGACCCCCTCAATTCACGGGGAGAAATCCTGCCCCTCGAGGTGATGGCATTTGGAGACGGGGCCTCTGAGAGGTGATGGGGTCATATGGACGGATCAGTGCCCTCGAAAGGGGGCTGCCGCGTCCCTTCCACCGCGGAGGACACAGCTGTCCATGAACCAGGAGACGTGCCCGCCAACACTTGACCTTGGACGTCCAGGCTCCAGAACTGTGGGGAAGAGATGTGTTGCTTCTGAGCCGCCCAGCTGTGGTGTCTTGTTACGCAGCCCGAACGCACGAGGCAGGACCAACACGTGGTATCTCAAAACCACGCGTGGGCAAAGGATCCGTTCACGGGCGCGGCAGCCGGGTGGACCATCACGTGAAGGCAGAGCAAGTCCGGGCTCCTCTCCAAAGGCCGCGCGCTCGTCGCCCTGTAAGACGCCGCCTCTGGGAGCTGAGGTGCGCTGTCACAGGACCGTCCACACCGACCAGGAAAGCCTGTTCAGACTCCCCTCCCACCCCAGCTGTGTGGGGCCGGGGCGTCTCCCCACACTCCGGTCAGACAGCACCTGCGGCAGGCAAGTGCGGGAGAGAGTCCAGACAGCTCCCGTTAAGCCAGACGTTCAAGAGCAGAAGCAGGCCGGGCGTGGTGGCTCACGCCTGTCATCCCAGCACTCTGGGAGGCCGAGGCGGGCGGATTGCTCGAGGTCGGGAGTTCAAAACCAGCCTGAGCAAGAGCGAGACCCCGTCTCTACTATAAATAGAAAAAAATTAATTGGCCAACTAATATATATAGAAAAAATTAGCTGGCACGGTGGCGCATGCCTGTAGTTCCAGCTACTCGGGAGGCTGAGGCAAGAGGATGGATCGCTTGAGCCCAGGAGATTGAGTTTGCTGTGAGCTAGGCTGACGCCACGGCACTCACTCTAGCCTGGGCAACAAAGTGAGACCCTTATCTCAAAAAAATAAAAATTAATTAAAAATAAAGAGCAGAAGCAAATAAGCCACCCTTCTTAGTATATTTTTTGTCTTGAAAATATAGTTATTTTTTATTTAAAAAGGCAGTTATATGAACATATAAAAGGTTTATTGTTATTTCAAAATAAATATTTAAAGATTTTTCCAGTTAAAAATTCTAATACAGCAAATAGGCGTAGCTATAACAGGAGTTAACAAAAGCAGGTGTGGTGGCACCTGTGGTCCCAGCTACCCGGAGGCTGAGGCAGGAGGACGCTTGAGCCCAGGTCGAGGCTGCGGTGAGCCACAGCTGTGCCGTGAGTGGTCGGCGCAGCCAGCCTGGGCAACACAGCAAGACCAACCTCTAAACACAAACACATTAATTAATGAAATAAACTGTCTCAGGGGCTCCCTTAAGACAATTTTTTAAAAAATGTCTCTGGGGTCACCAGTTAATATATTTCCCAGCTCTGAAGCTTCCATTTGGTTTTCTTTGCATTTTCCCTTTCCTTGCAGAGACTTTCGATGTTTTCGTTTGTTTTGAGCGTGCTCGCCAACTGCCCCCGCTGAGGCGTTTCCAGGTGGCTGCTCGGCAGCCTTTGTGAGGCACGTCCAGCGCCTTCGTGGCCTCCGTGTCGAATGTCATTTCGCATTTACAGTCTTGGAAAGTTGAGGTTTTCCTGGTTCTCGCTGCGATCAGTGGCTCTCGCTGTGCCCCAGACCCGGGGGTATCACGTGATGAGATTGCGGACACCTCGCTTCTCCTGTTCCAGACGAACAGCGCCCACTGACGCCGCACACACGGAGAAACAGGGGCACCGCCCTGGCAGTGGAGGCCCTGGCAGTGGAGGCCCAGGCAGTGGAGGCCCTGGGCGTGGAGGGCAGGCAGTGGAGGCCCTGGCAGTGGAGGCCCAGGCAGTGGAGGCCCTGGCAGTGGAGGCCCTGGCAGTGGAGGCCCAGGCAGTGGAGGCCCTGGCAGTGGAGGCCCAGGCGGCCCCGGCACAGCGCTGGAGTGGACACTTCCGTCCTCCCCTTCCTGCTTCCCTCGGCTGCTGGTCGTGAGCCCAGGCGCTGGGCCGCGGCAGGAGGCCAGCAGGACCCTGAGGGCCCAGCCCCTTCTCTCCACCTGCGGGAGCTACACTCGCACCAGAACTTCCAGGGCTTTCGATGCTTTTTGCAGGAGGAACGCAGAGAAATTTACTTCATCTTGCTCAGAACCAAAGTTATCAATAATTTTTAAAACTGCACAAGGGTCCTAAGACCAAACAGCTGACAACTGCTGCCCCATAACTGGGGACCCTGAGAGAAAGTCACCTCCATGCAATCCAGGCTCTCCCCTCACACCAGAAACCTTACGCTACTGCCTGGATCCACAGTGAGCCGAATTCTTACTTATTTATTCGTTTATAGAGGCAGAGTCTTGTTCTGCTACCCAGGCTGGAGTGCGGTGGTGCGATCACAGCTCACCGCAGTCAAACTCCCGGGCTCAAGCGATCCTCCCACCTCAGCCTCCAGAGTAGCTGGGCCTGCAGGCACGTTCCACCATGCCCGGCTGATTTTATAAAAACTCCTTTTTTTTTAGAGATGGCGTCTCACGACGTTGCCGAGGGTGGTGTTGGATTCCTGGCCTCTAGCAACCCTCCCACCTTGGCATACCAAAGTGTGGCATCACAGGCGTGAGCTACCATGCCTGGCCTTAAACAAATTCTTTAAGTCAGGGGACAGGACACATCTTAAGAATGGAAGAGAATGCAGAATTACTCATTTGTTGTTGTTCTGCTCCTTTTTAAAATGAAAAATAACACATGCCATAAATGGTTACCCGTATACGCAAATATCTCTGTCTATACCGACAGTGGGCAGATCTGAGAAAACATTTGTTTACATCTGTTTGCCTGAACCCAGAGAGAGTGAGGAGTCCCGCTACCTCCTGTTCTTCTGCTCCCACCACCAGACACACCCCACCGCACTGATGCAAAAACCTGGGAAAGAGTAACATGAAACTAAGCAAAACAGATGGTCACTAAGTTTTAGTTTTAAAACAATAGTGACAAGGAAATTAAACTTACGTTATTGGCAAATACTCGAAGGTCTAGCGCTACCGCATACATGACCGGCAAAGCCCTACGGGGCAAAAAGCAAACTTGGGTGAAGAGGCTGTGAGGTCTGAGACCCCACCACCCGGCAGCAGAACACCTGTGTCCCGGGCTGCCCACCAGACTGGAGTCCACCCCAAACTCTGACGGGAGGCTTAGGGCAAGGCCACGCCTGCCTGCAGGGCCAACACCCCACCCTGGCGCTGCAGCTTCCCAGGAACCCTCTTCCTTCCTCGACTCCCGCCACTATCCCAACAGCCACACTACACAAAGACGGGTCCGGTGAGATCTCCTAACAGGAACCAGAGTGTGCAATACACGGTATGTCCCCAAACAGCCTTTCCACCTAACTGGCAATGCTGGACTCCTTTCGTGTGTACATCTTCATTTAACGCAGGGAAAAGGTGGGTTTTGTGTTTGTAAAAGGCCTTTGGTTATTTTAGTAGAGACAAAATTCCAGTATTTACCTATAGTTTAATGAATAATAAAATTCAGAATTTATAATACTCCAATATGATGTACTAAATCACCCAATGAATTACAGTTGGTCTACCTCTTTTATCCAAAGTTTAAAACCAAAAGTTAAAAATTGATGAATGAAGGAAAAAATAGTATTTGATAAATATTTAGGGGCATGGAAGTACTGAAATAAAAATAATACTTTAGATTTATGTAGTCACACGGCAAACAGTCTGGCTGATCTGCCATTTAAATTTACACTGACGATTGTAACTCCATGATTCCTCTTGACATTGCCATAGGTTAACACACTGGCATCAAATATCCACGTAGCAAACATAAGACATATTTATTTAAAACAATTTTGAAAGTTTCTGCTTTAAAAAAATTTCTACTTGCTTATTTCTGGTGGCTTCTGTTGACACTTACCAGTTCTCTTCTTTGTGGGCCTGGAATGCCCGGAGGAATGACGTGCTATGTCAAGGAAGATGCCACATAAGAAACTCGGACGATGCTGCGTTTGGTAAAAGTGAAGAAAAAGGGGCTGCAGCTTTAAGGGGAACAGCTTACCCTCTAGTAGGCTCTGTCACAGAGGAATAAGTTCTTGAAGGAAGGAAAGGCATAGGCCTCCAGTGTAAATACCTGTGTATCAGGTATAAGTCTGCTAAATACATTCAGGTCATACATACTTCCTCCAAATGAAGAAAGACTTCTTGTTATCAGATTTCTTTAATCGGCAGTTTCACACATTTTAGTTGATTTTTCTGAGCCCAGATGATCACAAGTTACATTTAAGTGCTTTAGAATCTGTGCGATAAAATGCATTTGATTCATTATAGAATTTTTGAATTCCAAGGAGACTTAGCTAGCTAGCGGCCCACTCTCTTCTACATGAAATAAAATCCAGTGACACACACAAACACTCAGAACCTCACTGGTGAGGACCCGAACTGGAAGACGATATTCAAGGACGTAAGTAAGAAAGTGGCGAGCGAGCAGCAGCCGCCATTGAATGACAACGTGCACCTGAGTCCACTCTTGTCCGTGTAGGCCTCGATTCCAGAGTTTTGATATTTCACCAACAGGACCTAGCCAGTCCCTGTAACTACACTTACAAAATATTATTCTTCTCAACAGAAATAAATAAATCCTTCCTCTTAACCAGCGTTCTTTCCTATTATACACGTAATTGAATGAGTCTTAAGATCCATGCTAAATCTGAGCAAGTGGACTCACAATAAAAAAAAAAAAAATTCCATGCTAAATTAAGTACCTGAGTGAAATAGCTAGAATGATTTTTTTCCCCAAAACATTTTAATTCCTTCTTGACTGCAGGCATGAAAAACTGGCCCAACATTTCAAGATTTCATACCCCAAATAATCCACTGTATCTGTTACACACTGGACAGTGGCCACAGCCACAAAAGATATTGGACGATCACGGTCTGGCACTTGTACGCCTCTACGAAGTCGTGGTTCCCCACCGCGTACGTGCACCTGGAAAAGAAATGTCGAGGCTGAGAGCCAGGGCGTCAGAAAACGCATCGACTCGATAAAAACTCAGACATCGTCACGCAGCCCGCACGGCTCCCTTCATCCCGGCCGCCCCAGCTCCCACCTGGTCCCGGGACGGGAGCTATGAACTCCCGCCCGGCAGGAGACAAAGGTCAAGGCAGAAGTAACAAATGGCTATTTGAACCAAATCGGGTTGGTACGAAATGAAATTCCACCTTACGTTTGGAGAACGAAACCTAGCTGCAGCAGGGGCGGCACACTGTCACCGTGTGGCCCTTGCACTCTGGCAGTGGGCTAATCGTGACGCTCTACCCAGACTCCCACTGGGCACAGCGAGCTCACTGCCCACTCCGCAAGCCGGCGTCTGCTGCGCAGAGCTAGGAAACTGCAGGCCCCTCCCAGGCACGGCAGCGCCGAACTCTTCCAAGGACCCCTCGGGGCTCACAGGGCCCACCCTGTCCCCCAGCCCAGCCTGCTCTGAACTAGGCGGTCACAGCTCACTGGCTCTAGGACACAGACTTCTGCCTGGATTGATGCCTTAGAACTAAAGGCAGGAGATACAAAGGATAAATAAAAAGCTGCATTTTATTTGTTTTCTCAACTCCATTTCCCAGTGAAGCAAAGAGATTGCAACTGTTAGGCTCCATACGCTACTGAATAAAAAAACACTATTCAGTCAACATGACAAATATTAAGAGTTTTTCTTTTACAGTATTACATAACAGGCTTTACCAAAGTGAAATTATAAATGCATTTTTCTGCTTTTTCAAAGTCACTTATTTGCTGCTTCAAGTATAAGATGATGCAAGATAAAATCCCTGGTGAATTCAGAAATTCCAAGATTTGTGTGCTTTTCTTCCTCACCAATAGACTACCTTAAATGAGCTGCGAACATCTCATCGTAAGGGGGCTCCAAAACTTGCTGACACTTCTCTTCTGGAGAGGCCATCTAATTCGTAAGAAAAATGGCAAAGATTAAATCAACAGGCACAGAAAGAAAGCAACGCACAGAACAAGACTTGGATCTGTTTCCAAAGAATCTGCACTTCACAGCTCACAGTAACTCTCTGCACGTCAGCACTTCTAGGTAAAGATTCATTACTTCAACAAGTATTTCCCTATATTTCAAGTGAACTCAGGAAGCCCATGAATAATATACTTCAGTTTTGCCCACCGAGGGCCAGGCACTTCTCTGGCCCTTGGACTGGGATTCCCACCACCGGCCTCGGCACTCGGGCTCTGGGACGCGGGCTGAACTGCACCGCCAACGCTCCTGGTCCCCAGCCTCCAGAGCATGTGACTGACTCCTCCCCATAAATCTCCCTAGATATAAATATAGATATAGATATAGATGTGTCCTACTGGTTCTGTTTCTCTGGAGAATCTTGACTGATACACAATGGATTACACAACACTGAATTTTTTTAAAGAAACGTGAGTCCACACTGATATAATAAATACATATGCATGTCTGCACGTATGGAGGTGGGAAGAATGACAGTACCAGAAAGACGGCCGCTTCACAGCCCTAGTGAAGTAACTGGTCCGGACAGTGGCCACCGTGAAGGGAGCCATCAGACAGAAGTTAACAGGGAACTTCACAAGGGAGGGGTCAGCCTTAGCCTGCCGTGGGACAGACAGATGGATGTCCCAATGTGAAGCACACGGCACCAGTGTGGAGTATTCCGGCCAAGCTGCACCTGAGTTTCACTGAGTCTCTAGCACTAGCTTCCATCCAGAGCATGGTTTTCAGTGTTGTCTGCTCGTTAGAATCACTTAGGTAACTTTACTTAAAAAAAAAAAAAAAAAAAGGCTTGCTGCTATCCCAGAGACTGATTCACCTGGTCTCAGGTATGGTCCATACACTGCCAAATATAGTCACCAATAGGTAAGCCCATTTTTCTTACAAAAGAAAAACTTTGCCCCCAGTGGGAACAACACTCCAATATTATAAGGGGTTTCAATGAAGAAACGGGAATTTACAAAATGCCAACAATATTTTCTATAAAAAATAATCATTTCAATAATATCACTCATCCTCATCAAGAATACTTGTGTTTTCAAGCACAGGTTGGCAAAGGCTTTCCAGAAAAGGCCCTAAGATAAATATTTTAGGCTCTGTAGGCCACAGATGCCTGTGGACGGAGCCCTCTGGGCCGCTGTGGCAGGAAGGCTGCCGCCAGCGACAGGCAAACCAGCAGCTCGGCTGTGCTCTGCTCCAGTGAAACTCCACGGACAACCCCGGGCTGGGCCTCCAGCTGCCGTCCTGGTCCTGACTGGAACGCAAATTAAATGGAGACGCCCATGGTGCATGCCGGCCCTGGGACTTTGGGGACAGACAGGCCCTGACAGAGTCCCAGCTCCACAGTGCCCGATATGCCAGCTCACTGCTGCAAACCTCGAGCTGTGCAGGAATCAAACACGGGAGTAAGAGCTGCCCATCCTGGTGTGGGACGTGACACACAGTGCTCTACACGTGAACTGCAATTATGAAATCCTAAAGGAACTTTAAAATTTTCAAATAAGAGCGACAATATTAATTTTCTTTTATTCCTAAATTTCTCTTACGAAACTCATTACCCTGTAATTCCCTCCTGACACCCGGTGCGTAACTCTCCCACCTACCTGAAGCCTTGGGTTTGCAACATGAGGATGCTTGAAAGACACCAGCTCTGCGCAAGACGCTCCGTCCCTGGTGTCGATCGCTTCGTACACCTGAAACAGGTGAAAGGGAGAACCTAAGTCGAAAGTTAAACATTCTGTTCTAATAGAGCCTAAACAGTACGCTGTATACCACTAAATTCACGTCCCCTACTTTGAAAGGAGTCAGAATACTCAAAACTGTCCCACGTCAAGACTCTCTTTAGCCAGTAAACGTAACTCCATCTCAAAATGAAATCTTCCAGAGGCAAGAAAACAGGTAAAGCAGGCAAGAACAAGCAGTGGTGTTGCTTGGCCATTAATAACGATGATGAATTGTTTTGGTTTTACTTGGTCACACTAGCATATGTTTGAAATTTTACTTATATAGCTTATGAAAAATAAGTCAGCTTAAAACCCACATATTTCCAAAATTCAAAAGGCTTTGACTGGCAGGGCGCGGGCTCACGCCTGTAATCCTAGCACTCTGGGAGGCCGAGGCGGGCGGATTGCTCGAGGTCAGGAGTTTGAAACCAGCCTGAGCAAGACCGAGACCCCGTCTCTACTATAAATAGAAAGAAATTAATTGGCCAACTAAAATATATAGAAAAAATTAGCTGGGCATGGTGGCGCATGCCTGTAGTCCCAGCTACTCGGGAGGCTGAGGCAGGAGGATCACTTGAGCCCAGGAGTCTGAGGTTGCTGTGAGCTAGGCTGACGCCACAGCACTCACTCTAGTCTGGGCAACAAAGTGAGACTCTGTCTCAAAAAAAAAAAGGCTTTGACTTAACCTGGGCCCAGAGCCTTTCCGCCCATCTCCCTCCACACTGCAGGCCTGTGCCACAAGAGGCATCTTGTGATCAGAAAACCAGATATGCTTGTAAACTATATTCACAAAAAGACATAAAAATTCTAGCTACATGAGTGAAAAGAAAAGCTGAGCATAAAGCTGCACGTGCGGTATAATTCAACTACGATAAAATTAAGTGTGTCACTTTTATGCCACACAAGACTCTCACTAGGGACACATAAAGAGGACATCCAAATGGCCAAAAAGCATGTGAAACGCCCTTGACACAGCCCTAACCACTACCCATCAGCTCCATCAGCGAAACGCAACGAGGTACCTCTACACACCCACCGGAGCAGTTACAATCGAGAACACTGACAACACTAAGTGTTGCCAAGGATACGAAGTAGCTGGAATGCCTGCACAATGGTGGTGGGGTGAATCGGTGCAACCACTTTGGAAAATTGGCATTCCTACTAAAGCAAGCAAACATTTACTCTCTGACCCTGTAATCCTATGCCCCATGTCCACACTCAGAAGTGTGGAGGAACATGCCCCCAGGACACACACAGGAACCCAACTCCTCCTTCCCGAATTTTCAACTCACGGCATTGAGTAGGAAGGCCATTGACTAGGAAGGCGGACGCCACCTTCTCAAAGACTAACGTGATAAGGAATCTGCCACTTTACTATTCAACCCAACCACACATGCCTTTTACATTTCGAAACAGTAACCTCCCTTGTAGGATTTACCTTACAACTAGAAACAGAAGATATCTGTGCTTGGTTACTCCTTCAGGGACTGAGGTAACCACAAGACACTGGAAACGGGAGACAGGCTGAATGAACGGGGAAACATCTATTCTAAGGCATACGATGCAGCCATTTTTAACAATGAGGAAGATCTCTATTAACTGCCATGGAACAATTTCCAGGACATATAGTTAAGTGAAAAAAGCAAGCTGTATAAAGAGCGTATATAGAATGCTGCCTCTCAACAGGGCAACCAAAGCATATGTGTTTATGTCTGTGTGCTTGTGCCACATATATTTCTCAAAAGGACATACAGAATCTAACGAAAATGGCTCTCTACAGAGGAGGTGACAATGAGATGAAAGAGAGAAGGGGAGTTTCTGAGCACATCTTTAAATATACTGTTTGTTTATGAACATATTCAAGAAATGCCATAAAAAGGAAAGGCAACCTTACAGCTGAATACAAACAGAAGATACGTATCTAATAGATGTCAAAGGAGAGCATAACCATACAGAAAAAGAATAGGAGTAATTTTTGAACACAGAACTTTGCGGGATTTGAGTGTGCTTATTTTATGGACAAAAAGACTGCAAAAGAAATCCTGAATTTTACTTAGTAGACTCTGTTAGTAGTGGTGCTGGTGCCATAATTCTGAAACTGCTTTGTGAGTACAGTAAATTTATCAATGTTGGAAACCATGGTCCTCGGTATTCGAGAAAGGGAGATACTAAAATAGAACAAGGGAAAGTGAGAATCCCATTAGATTTGAATTGCAGGTACGAGTAGGAACTTAATGATTTATTTTATCTTTGGCTGAAACCATCTGAAGACCTCCAGACTGTGGTCACAGGTTTTATACCCTCACAGGAAAACCATGGCCTTCCAGAGCCAGCCCTCTTGACCAATTCCATGTGATATCGCAGGGTGCTACTCAAGGTCACATCATGTCCCCACCTCTTCTCTAACATTTTCAAAGTCACAGACAGGCTCAGTGTGACTTGAGTGCAAGTACTATGAAAACCCATCACTAAACCAAGTCTTTCTCTTCATAGTCCTGACCACAGGTTTACGAACATCATCCAAAAGGTAGATAGATGGACACTAAGAGTCCTCACTGGCTTTGGGAAGGGGTTAGGTTGGTTTCCTCTTCAAAATTACTGTGCTGGATACCTGTACTCCCAGCTACTCGGGAGGCCAAGGCAGGAGGATCACGTGAGCTCAGGAGTTTGAGATTGCAATGAGCTATGATGACACCACTGCATTCCACCCCGGGTAGCAGAACAAATGAATGAATGAATAAATAAATAAATAAAATTAGTGTGCTGGAGATCAATGTTTTGGAATTAAATATATTGCATTTGCCAACTGTCATCAACAAGCTAAAGGTGACCCAGAGAGGGCAACACTGGCGGCTGCCTGTCCTCTGTAGGAGGGGGGTTTTCAGTGTTTGTGACCACAGCTGGTGCGCAGCCCCCAGAAGCCTCCAGTGGCTCCACCTAAGGTCAGCCTTAGAGAGGGCGGGCAGGCTCTGGGGGTGTATGTGAGGCAGATCTCGGGTGAGGGAGAGCGCCCTCCTGGATCAGGGCAGGCACACGCCTCTTCTGTGCTCACCATGCCACCAAGGGCTGACCCTAGGCTGGAAGCAAAGTGACCAATCCCACCCAGTCTTGGCCAGTTTTAGTCAGTGCAGCCCCAGTGAGATGGTGCCTTCCTCAGCCACCTTCAATGCGCCATGGGGGCTGCCTGGCCACAGGAGCCCCAAGGCAGACCTTGCTCTTGCTCAACCAAGGCTGCTCAGGCAGAAAAGCAGCTTGGGGCCCACCTGTGTTCCCCTCTGCTCAGTGTGAATGTGGCATTCAAGCCGAGAGCCTCCTAAAGCTATCTCATCTTCTGGTTTCAGGCACACTTGGCCCCTGCACAGGCCCTGGCACAGCCTCAGTCCTGAGAGCCTGAGGACACGCCTCACTCTGGTTAACAAAGACTGTGGCCACTGGTCACCCTTGAGGACAATGCTCTGAATGTCTTTCAGGCCTCCAAACCCCTCTCCAGGGGAAACCCCCAGGTGAGGAGGGCTTGGAGTTGCAGAGCTGGTGAACGCTATGAAAGGAAGCATACCCCAGTGGTGGGAAGCACCAGGGCACGGTAGTCACCCCAGGATCAAACCCTCAATTAGACACAAGTTCCTGCCAGTGAGTAAGGAGGGCCCTGCCAGGGAACCCTCACTGGTCCCAGCTCTGCTCCAGGAAGCCTCTTCCACCAGTGACCTCCCAGGGTTGTCCACAGTGACATGAGGTGGCCCACATCCTGGGCTCTCCTTGGCCAGACCCACCTGCGCTGCACCCAGCACCTCAGGCACGACCTAGCCAGCCCCTGGCTCAGCTCCACAGGACCTGGACCCCAGAAGGGGCCCAGCTTCCTCGCAGAGATGGATTCCCATCAGTTCCCCTGCCTCCATGACTACATTGTAAGGAAGCTCGATGTGAAGAAAAAACAGGGATGTGACAGACTTTATCAGCAAACCTCAGGGATGTGATCCGCTCCTCAGTGGACACAGGGCCCCTGGCAGCCCCGCCAAGTCCTCAGACGCCTTGCTGACTGTGCATACATCGCAGCGCCTTCAGCCCCCAACTGGACCACGCAGCCAGACTCTCAGGGAACGCCTCCTGCCTCAAATTCCTCCTCCTTACTTCCACCAGTGTCCAACCAAAACAACAATGACCAAATCAGGCCCTTCAGATCCACTGGGACCACTGCACACACCGAGGGCAGCGACCCCGTGGTCCATCTCTGTGTCCCCAGGAGGGACGACACGTGTGTCTGCTTTAATCACGAGCACTCCCCATTCTGCGGACCCGAGTTCCGAGACACTGTGCCGACACTGCCTCGCCAGCACGGCGGCCCAGGAGAAGGGACACCGTGGAGGCCCCTCCGGCCCAGCCCGCCGTTTTCATGGCGTCAGCGTAAGACCAGAAGTCCCGGCCAGGGAAGGGGCAGCGAAGCAATGGAAGAGGCCTGAGGGTGCAAAGCCAGAAATGGAACACGCAGGGGCAGGCTGAGGTCCACCCACGCCGCGGTGCGTTTCCCAAGCCAGTATTTACCTGCTGCAGGTACTGGTTAATGGTGATGTGCGCCATGGCAGCCAGCACCGCCCACAACGCCACCAGTTCCGGCCGCCCCCATCACTTCCGGCCCGGGGTCCGTCTCCGGCAAGGCGCCCCCGGCCCCGCCTTCCCCCGCACTTTGGTTCCGGACGGCGAGCGCGCGCGGCAGCGCCACCCCGGGGCCTGCTGGGCGACGTGCTCGAGCCGGGTCCCCGCCCCCTCAGCCCGGTCGCCTCCGGCTCTGCCCGTGTCTGGGCCCGCGGGGGCTTGAGGGGTTTGGGGTTCAGCAGCGAGGGCAGCCCCACGGCGAAGCTGCCTTTCACTCCGCTGACCCCACGACTGTCGCTTGTGAGAAAACGAGCCTCTCAGGATGCTCCTAGCCCCTCAGCCCTGAAGGGAGGCGTCCCGGCGCGCCTCAGAGCCCTAACTGGAGTTGGGGTGTCCCGGCCCGGCCCCAAGCCCTAAGTGGGGTCCCGGCGCGCCCCTGACTTTTAATTGGGGGAGGTGTCCTGGGACGCTCCACAGCTCTTTAGGGGATTGTCCCGGCGCGCCCCTGACCCTTAACTGGGGGGGTGTCCCGCGGCGCCCCAGGGCCCTTTAGGGGGCTATCGGCGCGCCCCCGACCCCCTAATGGAGCGGGGGTTGTCCCGGCGCGCCCCCGAGCCCCTAATGGGGGGACGCTTCGGCGCGCCCCCGAGCCCCTAATGGGGGGGACGCTCCGGCGCGCCCCGAGCCCTCCGGAGGCGGTTGGGCCTCCAGGACGCGGCGCCGGCCGGGCGGGCGGCGCCGGGCGGACGGGCGAGCGGGCGGACCGGGGCGGACGGGCGGCCGCCGGGCGGGGACCGGGCCGGGCGGCGGAGCGGGCGGGCGGGCGCGGCGGTTCCGGCCCAGCCATGGCGGACGAGGCCCCGCGGAAGGGCAGCTTCTCGGCGCTCGTGGGCCGCACCAACGGCCTCACCAAGCCCGCGGCGCTGGCCCCCGGCCCCGCCAAGCCGGGCGGTGCGGGCGGCTCCAAGAAGCTGGTCATCAAGAACTTCCGAGGTGGGTGCGGGGCGGCCGGGCGGCGCGAGGGCGGCGGGACCCCGGGCCTCCCGCGGGAGGGCTCTGCGGCCGGGGGCGGGGCGCGGGCGAGCCCCGGTGCGCGAGGCCGCGGCGCTCTGGGCCCGCCAGGCCCGGCCTGGGCCGCGGGAGCCTGGGCGCCCTCCGAGCCGCGCGGTCTCGTTCCGGCCCCGCAGACAGACCCAGGCTGCCGGACAACTACACGCAGGACACGTGGCAGAAGCTCCGCGAGGCCGTGCGCGCCATCCAGAGCAGCACGTCCATCAGGTACAACCTCGAGGAGCTCTACCAGGTGAGGCGCGTGGGGCCGGGGACGCGCGTGGGGCCGGGGACGCGCGGCCCGCCCCCAGCGGCGACTGCGGGCGCCCCAGCCGGCACGTGTTTTTGTTTATTGCTCTTGCGGGATTTTTATTTTGCTTTCAGGCTTAAGCTGCTTTAGGCAGGTATTTAAAGTCACTGTGGAAGGGAAAGAGGTGTGTTTCCAAGAGCCTCATGACCAAGTGTTTTTTGCAAGTATGCAGCGAGTTATTATTGTAGTTTTGTTTGTTAGATATAAAACTCATATTGCTTCAGTTGCTAATGTAGTTTCATTAAAAGGCTTGATTTTTTAAAAAAATTTTACGCTTACACGAGTGATTACGTTGTACAAGTTAGAGCATCTAAATCACCTATACTCCCACTGCCCAAAGAAAACTGTTGACAGTTTAGTGTACATACATCCCTTCTTTGTCTTAAGTGTGTCAGAAGACTTTGTTTTTTAATCAGCTTTATTGAGCTATAATTTATGTATGATGTGCACTTAATAAGCATTAACAGATGTATACACTTGTGTAGCCGGCACCACAATCAAGATATAGAGTATTTCGATCACCCCAGAAAGTTCCCAAGACCCCTTTGCATTCAGTCCCTTTCCCCAGCACCCAGCCCTCAGCAATCCCTGATTTTCTGTCACTGTTTTGCTATTTCTAGAACCCATCTAATTGGCCTCTTGCGTTTTGCTACCTTGCGTGTCTGGCTTTCACCTGGGCTGGTGCTTTTCAGATCCACGCACACCATGTGATAGGAACTTCTTGTTACTGCGTCATGTGGGGATACTGCAATTGGTTTATGCGGTCGCCAGTTAATGGACACTTGGGTGTCCAGGGTTTAGCTGTTACGAATGCAGCAGCTGTGAACATTAGTAAATCTTTGTGTGGACATATATTCTCATTCCTCTCAGGTAAGTACATGGAAGTTCTCAGAGTTGTGTGGAAAACATATTTATATTTATAAAAAATTTCCTGTTTTTCAAAGTGATGGCACCATTTTGCATCCCTGCCAGCAGCACGTGAGCGTTCCAGTTGTTCTGTGTCCTTGCCGATGTTTGGTGTTCTCTTTTTAATTTTAGCTATTCTAGTAGGTACATGGTGCAATTTCATTGTCGTTTTTAATTTGCATTTTCCTAATGATGATATTAAACATCTTTTTGTATGTGCATTTGCCATTCTAAGTATCTTGTTGATGAAGTGTCTATTGAAATATTTTGCTCATTTTGGAGGGGTTATTATTATTATTGAGTGTTTGAGTTTATTATGTATTCTGGATACAAGTCATATCAGATAGTGGCCTTGCAAATACATTCTCCTGGTCTGTAGTTTGTCTTCTGATCCGCTTAATCCCTAACCTTGTCCTTTGAAGAACAGTAGTTTTCAATTTTGAAGTCAAATGTATCGATTTGTTATTTTATTGGTTGTGCTTTTGGTATATAAGAAATCTTTGCCTAATCTAAGGGCACAGATTTTCTCCTGTATTTTTTCTAGACATTTCAGAATTTTAGGTTTTACATTGAGGTCTATGGTCTACATTGAGTGAATTTTGTGTGTATATTGGGAGGTATAAATCAGAATTCAATGTTTTCATTGTAAATGTTCAGTTGTTCCACTTGTTAAAGACTGTCCTTACCCCACTGAGTTGTCTCTGTCCTTTGTCAAAAGCCAGGTGTCCGCGTGGGAGTGGATAGAATGAGTGGTGGAGTCGGGGAGTGCTGGCCTTCCAGCTCCATCCCCTTTCAAATTTGTTCTGGCTATTCTTAGTCCTGTGCATTTCCATGCAAGTTTTAGAATCTGTTTGCCAGTTGCTACAGAAAAGTTACTAGGATTTTGATTGAGGTTATATAGACTGTAGGTCAATGTGGGATCATCGATGTCTTGACAATGTTGAGTCTGTCAATCACAACAGATAGCTCTCCGTTTATATAATCTTTAATTTTCTCTCAGTGTTTTCTAATTTCAGTGTATAAGTCTTGTACACTTTTTATGAAATTTATCCCTAAGCATTTCATATTTTAATGACATAAATGGTACTTTAAATTTTAACTTCTGGTTCTTGCTGTTACATATAAATCCAGTTGATTTTTATATGTTGATATCATATCCTTGTATATTGCTAACGTCACTTATTTGTAGTAGATTTTTTGTAGCTTCTGTCAGATAGTCTACATAGACAGTCATATCATCTTTGAATAGAGATGACTTCTTCTTTTCCAATCTGCATGCCTTTTAGTACCTTTTTTTGCCTTACTGTATTGTTTAGAACATCGGGTACAATTGTTAATGGAAGTGGGAAGAGTGAGTGGGTGTCCTTGTCGTGTTCCTTCCATCAGGGGAATCTTTCATTCTCTCACCTTTGAGTATGACATTAGCTATGGGTTTTTCATAAATACTCATTGTCAGGTTGAAGATGTTGCTTTCTGTTCCTAGTTTGCTGAGACATTTTATAAGAAATAGATGTTGAATTTTGTCAGATGCTTTTTCTGCATCTATGGCAGTGATCATATGATTTTTGTTTCTTAGTTCGTTAATTAATGGAGTGACTTTTCAAATATTAAACCAATCCCTCATTCCTGGGATAAATCCTACATGGTCATGATGTATTATTATCTTTTTTTATATATTGTTGGATTCATTTTGCAAACATCTTGTTAATTGTTGCATCTGTGACCACATGTGTGGTCTTGTTGTATCTTTGTCGGTTTGATATCATAGTAATGTTGGCCCCATGAATAGGAAAATATTCCCTCTTCTTCATTATCTGGAAGAGTTTTTGTAGAAGTGGAATTATTTCTTCCTTCAGTGCTTGAGGGAATTCCCTACTGAAGCCACCTTGGCTTTCTGTGTGGGAGGGTTTTAAACTTAAATTTCTTGAATAGATATAGAGCTATTTACATTATCTGTTTTTTCAAATTCACTAATCTGCAGTGTCTAATCTTCTCTTAATACCATCTGGTGTAATTTTCATCTCACACATTGTTTTCCTCCCTAGGTGTTTAATATGGATCTGTTTTGTGTCTTGCATATCTCTACTTTTAAAGCATGTGGAATGCAGTTACAGTAGCTGTTTTATTGTCCTTATCTGCTAGTTCTGTCCTCTCAGTCAGTTCTGGTTGGTTTTCACTGATTGGATTTTCTTCCCATTAATAGATTTTATTTTCCACTTTTGTGCATGTCTTGATAATCTTTAGATGTCAAATGTTGTCATTTTAACTTGTATGTTAGGCATTTTTGTATTTCTCTATCCTTGGCCTTTGTTCTGGACACAGTTAAACTGGAAACAGACTATCTTTCTGGGTCTTGCTTCTGAGGTTTGTTAGGCAGGGCAGGAGCGGGTGGGGGGGTGTCCAGGGCTGTGTGCCCACTGCAGAGGCAAGACCTACCTGAGCCCCATGCCCTGTGTCTTCCATCTGCTGGTGGGAAGTGCTCTTCCAGGCCCGTGGAGGCTCCAAACACTGTTATCCAAACACCCCATCGAGGGTGCATCTCCGGAGGTGTTGCTCTGCCAGGGCGCACGGGGTTTGTGGCCTCGCTGACAGGCCAAGTGGCTGCTCCTCTCTTCCTGCAGGGACAGGCTCTGGCCTCCGCGCAGCCGAGGGCACCGCCAGAGCTGCGGCCTCAGACCCGCAGGAAGCAAGTGAGATGGAAATAACAAGCAGATATGAAATTACTGGTCCTGTGTTTCAGAGTAAAGTTTGTTTTTGCTTCTGTGGTGCGTATGGTGTGTACTTCGCCAAAGAATGTTTTGCGAGAGTACCAGTTCTCTCCAAAGTTTGAAAGGTTTTGGTTTTGGTTTTTGGTTTTGCTCAGTCTCCCCAGAGTGAGGTCTGGGGCCTTCCTGTGCCGCGTCTCTGCTCGGTCTCTGTCTGGCGCAAAGGGAGATGCAGAGTGTGGCGATGACAGTCTTCACGCACACACCACCAGTCGCCTCCCTCCTGTAACCTGAGGAGGAGGGTATTCTGAAGGCATAGGTATTTTTCTGTTTGTTGGTAAAGAGTTTAGATCTGTGATAACTAATTTGCTGAAGAAAGTACATTCCGTGTGTCTTGTGTCTCTGTGTTTTAGTCCTACTTGTCAGCTTAACGAGACAACAGAAAACTGAAGACTACAGTGGGAAAAGGGTTTCAGAGAAAAGCTAAGTGCTGATTGCAGCCAGGGTTTTTTGGCTGGGGTGTGTGTGTGTGTTTTGCACAAAAAGCTTTCAAAAGGACTCAAAGCCCTGAGGAAAGGCAGCTGTCTTTCTGGAGTCATCGAGTAATGCCTCTGTAAAACCCTTGTACCTGGTGATAACATCGCTCAGCGAAGGAGAAAGGTATTAGTGGCAGAGTTGGGTATTAAGTGTGCTGATAGAGTTGCTAAAACTGTTAGAAAAAGTGAAGAAGCCAAGGAAATGGTGGACAGAGAGACACAGTATTTGATGGACCAATTTGAGAAAGTAACAAATTAATCGAGTGAATTCAGTACATGAGTTAATCAGAAACAGAGAGGAAATGGTCAGGCCCAGTGGGTTGTGGTGGCTCATGCCTATAATCCCAGCACTTGGGACGCCAAGGGGAAGGATCTCTTGAGGCCAGGAGTCTGAGATTAGCCTGGGCAACATAGCAGGACCCCATCTCTACAAAATATACATGTCTACACAGATACCAAACCTAAAAGAAAGGATTTTATAATTCAACAACTTTGGTCACTCAGTAAAGTCAGTCACTTGTATTAGGTCATTTCCTTCCCGGTGACACTCAGGGCAGAGGTCTGGCACAGGTGCCAGGTTGGCACACAGCCAGCAGCCAGCTGCTAGGCCCCAAAGCTGTCACTTAGGAAACTTCCTTTGTTTCCTTTCACTGGGATTTGAGTCCTCATCTAGTTCCTCTCTTGTTGTTTCCTCATTTCTCACAGGCAGGAACCCGCAGGGGTCACTGTCAGTCAGAGCGCCCTCCCCGTGGGGTGAGCAGTCCCCGGTCCCGTGTGGTAGCTTACATGTCCCTGG